GAAATACCAGTAACAGTATCACGTTTTAAAGTTTTTCTGTACTCGTGTATTGGATGTGTAGTAGCACTACATTCTGTCCAATTTGGAAAAAATTGGACGAGGCCTTAAGTCGAGTCCAATTTGACTGTGAGAGGAATTCTTTTAATCCAATTATGTTCTCTGCAATCGTGTTGCAATGTGGCTGGCGAATCATCATCGAAAAATTGGGGCTTTAAAAATCAATGGATTCCCCTTCTATTGATTCCTTCTTCTTCTGAATCCAGGCAGTTCATGCAATTCCAAGCATTTTAGTTCACGTGTGATTGTTATCGACAACAGAAATCGAGCGCGAATTGTAAGCTTTTCAAAATTATCAAATGGAAGTATATGTCGCATAAGATGGCAACGCCATTTAAAAAGCTATTAACAGTTCTTTGGTATGTATTGCAATGCTGCTCCCAGGAGTCATTAGTTTGGGGTGTAACATCCATTGAAAACATACTAGCATTTCTTCAGTTCGTCACGCAGCACTGCCGCCTGGAGTTATTATTTTGGGGTGTAACGTCTATACTGGACAGAATTTGCAAAACATAACAAGTCCAAAAACTTTCTCACCATCAAAATTCTTTGCATCTTCCTTGTCACATCGCGTTCTGTGGAAATTGCAAACAAGTAAACGTTAGCTACACAGATTTATGAGTGTAAATTCGTAGTAAATGTCCTGATCGTGTGACTGAATGAAAACCGGATGGCGAGAAACTATAATTAAATTTTCTACGTGAGTCAAGATTAAACTACGCAATAGCGTCGTTGATAACTCAAGAAAGTCTAGATCAGGTAAAGATTCATATGGAGTTCATTAATGTTTTTCGCCAATAAACAGGGTACTAGGGTCTCAATGACGGTGGTCACGTAACTCACGTCGACGGTTTACGGTTAAGAATAAGCCCTTTTGACGATTCACAGTTAAATTTTAGATCATTTGACGGTTGACGGTTATTTCATTGGAATGTCGTTTCTAAAACAAACTAAACGCGCGAATTTGGCTGTAATTTCTTATAATGACGCAATTGTAAAGGACTGTTCGGTTGATTTATAACTCCTATTTTTAATAACTAACTAACGTTTTACCGCACCGGAAGTGTTGCACACCGGAGGTGTTTCCACACCGGACGTCAGTTGAACAGTTTTACTCGCGACTAGATGTTAATGAACCTACATGAATTTTTTTTTGTGATATATTAAAACACTAGCGAGAAAAACACACAACGTTTCGATGACTCCATGTCATCATTCTCAAGTGAGAAGAGAATAAAAATGAATAGTTAATTTATACCATACGAAGGTGGCAAACGTAAAAAGTTTAAAATATTTAAAATATTTAAATAAATAATTGCGCGTGTTGAGTTCATAAATGTAAACTATTAAATAAATAGTTTCGCGCGTATGGAATCCGATTGTTTGTTCAAAGAGGGCTTCATCTTCTTTATGAAAAGCATTTCATGAACTAAACAGTCCAGTTTCCCGGTGCACTTTTTAAGTACGTTGAAATGCTTGGTCAGGTCGCCGATGGTTTGTAGGCCGTGGTCGTTCTTTAGATGTTTGCCGATGGCCGAATTACGGTGCTCATTAATACGTTGATGTAAATGCCGGCTGGTGTACCCGACGTACTCTGCATCACACAGATCACATTTATAATTATATACAACGCATTGTTGGCTAACTATAGGAGGTTTAGGCTCACGTACTCTGAGATCTTCACAGATTTTGCGACTCTTGAACACGGGATGAAGGGTGTGATCGATTTTGTTGCTTAGATCTGATAATTGCCTTTTCACTGCGTCAGCTGACTTTTGATCTTTAAAAGGCAAAACCACTCGGTGAACAGCATTTTCGTTGACGGATAATTGAGCTTGCACTACAGGGTTTTCCGACCTAACTGAGGTGACAAAGTGAGAGATGGTGGAATTGATGAGGTGGTCGGGATACTTGAGGTTTGTAAACATCATCTTTAGATGATCACATTCAGATTTGAAGGACTCCCATGTGGACGACAGGCGGAATGCACGATTCAACATGGTCTTAAGTAGTGATTTCTTGTACCTTTTATCGACGTGGCTCTGGTGATGAAGCAATAGGCCTGTGTTTGTTGGTTTCCGATAAACACTAGTTTCTAGTTTACAGCCTTTCTTGAGCACTTCCATACCGACAAAAGGTAACTTGTTTCCAGATGCTAGCTCCATGGTGAAGTGTATGGACGGATGGCAGTTATTTAGCGTTGATAATAAATCTTCTGCCGCTGGTACACTTGTGACAATAGCAAACGTGTCATCCACGTACCTTCTGTAAAATTCAGGGAGCTTGTTGTCTTGATCTAGTTTCTCTTCGATAGAACAGAGAAATGCGTTTGCCATAAGTGGGCCCAATGGAGAACCCATGGCCACACCGTCGGTCTGCTCGTAAAGATTGCCATCAAATTGGAATAGTTGATTCATAGTTGCAACTTCTAGAAGTTGAACCAGTTCAGGCTTTGTAATGCTGAGGTCGTGTGTAGTATTAAACCAGTTGTCAGCGAACGCCTTCTCAGCGATGATTTCGATCGTTTCTTGAAGCGGCACATTAGTGAATAGTGACGTGACGTCATAGGATACCAGAATGTCATTCTCGTCGATGACTAGGTTTTGAATCTCATCGGCGAAGGAGAAGGTATCTGATATTGTGTAGCGATTGCTTGACAGGGGCTTCAGTTTGTCATCAAGCCACTTGGCGAGGGCATAGTTGTAAGTGCCGGTGGCAGATAGGATAGGTCTCATCGATAGATTCTCTTTGTGTGTCTTAGGGAGTCCATAAAGATGGGCAAGGCGTGAGCCAGCCTGGCAAACACAGTCGGCAATCTGCTTTGGTAAGATCTTCCGTACAACAGATGCAAGGTGCTTTTCCTTCTCCAATAGAGGGTGGTAATGCTTTACTGGGCGGCCTCTCGTTTTTGGTCTCTGCAGGCTGACAGGTGTGAACTTCGATGTATCATTGATAGATGCCTGGCTCAGCAGGTTAATATAATCAGATTTGTTCATGATGACTACACCAGTACCTTTATCTGGCTTTGTGACGACGATGTTGTCAAGTCGTTTCAACTGCTTTA